TTGTATTCACTATTCGCTGCTAGGTTTTGAAAACGCCTAGCAAAGCAGAGGAGCTGAAGATGATGTGAAATTTCCACGCGGAATCACGCACTAACCCAGTAGGCTGATGTCAAATATCTTAGGACGTGGTTGAACTAAAAAATAACTAGAGAATAATTCTCCGGGATAGAAAATGATGATTTTTTAGATGTTTCTTACAGCTCGGACATACTCCTTTTTACTACCGAACGCATGGACGTCACTTGAACATGAAGATGCTGAAGGACAATGCGGTGATGAATGAACTCATCTCGGGCCAAATGAACAGAACGTTGCTTCAAGGTTTGTTTTTTTGTCCTGTATTTTGACAGAATAGAAACTGATCTTTTAGGGGCTGTTCCAATAAGGAATCATTAGGATATTTTAGATAACTGAGCTGTGTGGTATGTGTAGAAAATTTTTTTCTGAAATTGGTGGCTTGATTGTTTGAAAAAAAAAGAATTCGCCGGCAAGGAAATAATTACGTTTTTTGCTAAATTCTACTGCGATTAATTTAACTGATTCGATTACATAGCTTAGTAAGTAAGAGAACGGTACAGCTCTTCGAGTATCGCATAACAAATTTTACACAGTTCAACAAAGTGCCAAAATTCATAAAATCCTTTGTTCGATTGATTGTACAGATTGGCACTAATCAAAAAAGTGAAAAGACTAGTAAATGTGCTTTCATTTTCAACAATATGGACGGGGAAGGGCCCGGGAGAGAGGGAGGTGAAGAGGACAAAAAGGCTAACAGTGAATGTTTGACTTTTCTGTACTTTGTAAGATCTGGAAGAAGATGTCTCGGATTGGATTCACACAGGAAATGTCGGGAAGCTTGAGGAACTGGTTCTCAATGGCTACGCAGATTTTCTGCTTGGCCGATCACACGAAGTCGACGATCCGGATACTGTTAACTTCCTTGACGTGCTGCCACAGTACCAGGTTGTTATTTATTCGTGTCGCGATGCTAGAATCCTTTGAGGAACCCTAGCTAGCGCTTTTAATCAATTAGACTTGACTAGACCTAGGACTCTAGGCACTATCAGCTTCTCAAATTGCCTATCTCTACAATAAAATACTCTTGTGCTGAAGGCAGTGACTGGTGATATGTGGCCATTTGCGAAAGCAGAAGAGCGAGCGCTGGCTGTGACAAAGCGATTTATAACCAACCGACTTTCTACCAAATGCGCAGTGCGACAATGCAAGAAAATAAAATTCGGTTGCAAGGGCATTTTGCTCGTCTTGGCAAGAACCGATGAACACTGTGGGTCAGCCAGTGATACATGTGAGAAGCTCGAGCAACCCCCGAAGAGTTGGCAGATATACATCAAACGCATTGGACTGATTTGCTGGGGAAACGCAGCTGTGGATAAAAAGGCCTAGTGTCCGTTTTGTGCGTGCTTCTCAGAGTAATAGCACTGAAATCTAATCTCTTGTAAGA